GCATTATGGGATATGCTGGGCCGGGAAGGATCGACCTGTCCTTCGATTCGGGCCAAAGGAAGGACGTATTTGTCGGACGCATCGGAGGAGTCTTCGGTTTTGGACGTCCTTCGTCGCGGCGCTGTGACGTATGCAGCCGACAAATTCAACCTTCGGAGGACCCGTCCTGTTGTTTTGGACACAGTCAATGGTTATCTTGTGATAACGACGAGATAACGAGGACCGTTTTCTCAAGATAACAAGTTAATCATGTCGTTATTGAAAAACGGTCCTTGTTATTTCGTGATAACGATATATGTCGTTACGAAAAATAATTATATGCAGAAAATGGATGCTTTCTGCTTCTTTTGTAAACAGCTAAACAAGTAAAGAAAGCTAACAGTAAAACCTATAGCCAAAGCTAATTGATCTGCTTATGGTTTTCTAAATGAGTAAAAAAGCTAATCCGCTGTATCAGAACATGGTAGCAGAACCATGCACTGACTCCAAGCCTTCACAGCATCTCAGCTGGGTTAAATGCATTTCTTCAAAGAAATATTAGATTATTTTCATACATGTTTTTGTCGTTGTGAAGCCCGTGTGTAGCAATATTAGCAAAAACACTACAGGGCTTCGGATCAGAAGTGTTCTGGAGTGTTTAAAAGCCGTACCACATCCATGACTTGAATCAAGGTGAAGGAGAACTGGACGGTCAGGGTGTGCGAGTCGTTGGCCACGGGTCTTTCCATGGGGTTGTAGTCCCTCAGCAGCTCTTTGAGGAGGAAGCGCTGGTGTGGACCCTGCACCGACTCTGAGCAGGGGGGGGATGACAAGAAGTATCTGAAAAAATGTTTCTACACTGATGGATGTTTGCATATTGTTTAACTCCACCAGGAAAATGTGCTTCTCTGAAGGACAAACATAAGAAACATGTTGAGAAAGAACTCAGGCGACATAAATAAAGAAATAAATACAGAAAGACTGCTGCTCCAATCAATTAGACCTCTGATTGATCGTCCACTCGCAGTCTTTCCTCGGTTGTAAAACTGTCCGTTTCATTTTGTGCAGGAAATAGTGAGGCCATTAAACACTGAAACACCCCAACACACACACACACACACACACAACAAGGAGAGCTTTGCTTCTGAGAAGCTCACTGAAGTCTTCAGGTCATTGTTGGTTGGTTCTTCATGAAGCATCAGCCCATCAGGCTCAGTGAAGCTGGAGAAGATCACTGAACAGCTGCAAACTGTCTGTTCTGCATCTTCTTCATGCTTGAAGCTTCATCATGTTTCAGTTAAACGTGCAGGATTAATGCACTGACAGTCAGATCTGCTGTGGACTGCTGTTTTAGTCAAAATACAATAAAAATAAACAAACAAATAAAGTGAAATTTAGTTTTATAAAATATAAACAAATAAGGAAAAATTTAATAAATAAATACATAAGGTAAAATTTTATTTCATGGGGACATTTAGGTATTCGATGGAATTTGTATTAATACTTTATTAATTACATTATTTATTTATTTATTTATTTATTTATTGTATTTTGACTAAAACAGCCGTCCATAATCTACGTTCATTTATCAGATCTTGAACAGTGCAGGTGGTGCGTCGTTAATCCAGATTATGGTGTCTTGGCGAGCTCAGTGTCCAGCTGGAGGTCATTTAGCAGCACAGTGACCGCTTTCTTTCACTCTGCATGTTTGTGAGCAGCGACGTGCAAAAGTGTCGGCACCTGTGAACTTATTTTGTTGTGAAATAATGTCCTTTAAAACAGTGTGAAGCTAAAACCAACACTTTAATCAGGGATGAGAGTAAAAGGACTTTTGGTATTAATCTGATACCTGGTAAATACAGGTGTGTCACTGATTCTGATACTTTTAGCTGGAAATGTCCTGATAATTTAATACTTTTGCTTTTAGCTGATTATGATAAAACAAAGGAATATTTTAGCCAAAATAAAAATGTTTTATCTAACTAATATAAAACACTGGAAAAATATGAAAATAATAAAATCCTTTTCTTATAACTTTCTACTATAGTTTAAAAAAAGTCTCTCAAAGTATCAAATATACAGCACGTCTGTTGACACTGGATAAAAATAATTATGCGTGGCCACAAGATAAATAATGAGTTGCCATGAGATAATAATAATAATAATCTGCTGCCTTTCATTTTATTTCATTTTATTTTGATTGCATGTTTTTTTGTTCTTTGTTGTGTATATAATTGCTACAAATAAAATGAATAAATTTCAAAATAAAACAAATTAAAATAACACGTTAATATTTTTTATCCAGTGTCACCTGCCAGGCTCCATACAAGAAGCATTATTGTAACAAAAATATTATATAACAAAGTCAACAACACAACAAAACACACTATCCATTGCACTCGAGTTTGATGAAGAGGAAGGATTTTATCTGATGAGTAAAACTTTGCTCCAGACTTTATTTTTTACTTTTTGGTGAACAAAGCTTATCTATGGACACAATATTAATAATATCAATATTTAAATCAATATGTCCAAACCTGGTTTTAGCAGGTTTTAAAGATCGATTTTAGTTCCTTTTTTCAAGGTTGCAAATAATTGTAAAAGTCCAGTTTCATGCAAATTGATGGCAGCTGCACAACTCAGTACCTAACACCATCCTCTTTAAAATAATTAAGTCTCAAACATAGATAAGATATCCCAAACTACATCAAACGGTGCAGTTTGAAAGAATTTAATCCAGTGTTTTTCCAGATATACAGTATATAAATAAGCAACTCTGACGTGTGGGTATGCACTCAATATAAACAAAGCACTCTGCTGAATCTGCCAAAAACCACATGAAAGCTTTGACCTACATCAGGCTGTATATAAATGAGGCAGAATTGGACAAATGTAGAACTGAGGAGACATTTTTCTCAGGTTGTTAGGATTTCACAATGTGGTCAAAACATATTTATGTCGACTTCTCTATCAAACCATATTTCATCTGTTCTCTGCAGTCATTCTTATTACAGTTATTCTGCTATTACAATGTAAAATACAAATGAAATGATAAAACATTTATATTAAAAAGTAAAAACTTGTTTATAAATGGCCAACAGACCAGAGTTGAGCCCTGACCTTTGATTACCAGAAATATCTATGAATCAGACAGAGTTTATACATAAAAAGGTCCTCAATAATTAGGGGACGACTCAAATTAGAGTTTGAAATATTTAAAAAGCAGCGTTTCATAGCGTTCCTGAAATAATTTGTTTCATGGATTATATTTTCCAGAAATTAAAAAACAGCTGAAGCACAAGCAGTTTAGTTTCATTTGTTTGAAAAACCTGTCGCAGACTTTGGTCCAGAACTCTGAACTTTATGCTGAAGATAAAAAACATCTTCTGTGATGCAGCGACAGTCTGAGGCCAGCAGCTTCAGGTCCAGAGATGTCACAACAAACCAGACCGTTTTACTGCTGTCCTGTGAGAACCCTGGGTTTTCTCCTGCTGCAGAGCAGTGGTTTGTCTTTGTGCTTCGTGTTTTTAACTCTTCGAAACATGATCTGTTCCAGACGACTCCATCCTCAACAGGTGAGCGAACCCTTCTCATCCTGAACGTCTCTGAACACATCTCTGCTCGTCACATCCTGCCTCAGCCTGAGTCAGGCTCACATGGTTGATGCTGAACTGTGTGGACAGGATGCAGACAGTGTTCTCCAGCAGAACAATGAGTCTTACTTTCTGCACCATAAACTCTGTATCACTGTGGTGAGAGTTTCTCTGAAGGAATCTTTACAGTTCTCCCAGGAAGTGTTTTATGAACCTGACATATTTTAATTATTACGAACAGAGGAAATGATACCTGGGAAATGGTTCTTTTATCTTCTGCTTCATGTGATTTTATTCATTTAATTCCCAAAGATGGTTAAAGATGATCTATTTACCCATCTATCTATCTATCTATCTATCTATCTATCTATCTATCTATCTATCTATCTATCTATCTATCTATCTATCTATCTATCTATC